ACCAAAAATGACATGTACGACGACAAAGAAGAAAGAAAATTGCTACAAATAATGATGCAGAAAAGTGACGAATTAAAAATCCAAAATTATTTCTCAACAAGTGCAAAAGAAAATAATGGAATTGACCAAATCTTCAAAAAGGCAGCAGATGTTGCAACAACTGTAATATCTGCCCAAACTGAACCACCAAGGCTAATTGAAAATGACAAAAAGAAATGCTGCTGAAATGTTTAATAGGAACAAATTACTTTTATTCATTCGATTTCCCAGTTTTTTTAATTGATTTATAACATTTTGTGATTTTTTTTTAATTTTTTATTTTTTTTGTACTTTTTTGACTAAATATGGTGTAGTAATTGACTGAAACTGATTCTTAACTATTTTATTATATAATAAATTATTAAATATATGTTATTTGAATTTACTGCTCTTTGCTTTTCTTGTAATTTCTTTCTAAAATTTCTTTTAATTTTGTGTGTGAAGAAAAATTATTTTTATTTAAAATCAATGATTTGTGTGTTTCCTTACCAATGATATGAATATTATCTCACTCATGAGATGTATTGATTCGATCCATTTGTGATTTATTTATGTATTGTTGTCTTTAAAAATTGGTGTGTTTAAATCATCCAATCGATGGTGACCAAGTATTTATAACTTTTCTAAGAAACGAGAAAAAAATATTTCTATTTTGAAACGAATTAAGTATTTTTAAAAATAAAACAGAGAATTATTCTGGCTTACATACATTTTATTAATTCATGAGCTATTTGGGGGTTTTGGTTTTCGCGGTGAACTCAAAATCATATAGTTTTTTGTCGCTCTTTCATTTCCCAGTTTCATTGATTGCTTATAAAGTTCCTTTGATTTTTCAATATCTTTTTTCACACCTTCACCTTTCAGATACATAGCTGCGAGATTATTCATGGCGTTAGTGTTTCCGGCTGCTGCCGCCTTTTCAAATAATTGAATTGCCTTTTTAAGAAGCTCAGAATCTCCTTCACAGCAATCTTTGAGAAGTGTAGCATAGTTGTTCATTGCACTGGTGCTTCCAGCGTCGGATGCACGTTGATAATATTTTAAGGCTTTTTTAAAATTTCTCTGTTGTTTGAAAATTGAGCCAAGACTGTTCATTGCATTAATTTCTCCTTGTTTTGCCGCATTTTTCATATACATCATAATTTCTTTTTGTATATCTTCTTTAGAATTAGCATTCTTTTGGTTGTCATTTTGATCATCATTTCTCACATCGTGTTCTTTATTTTGAGTATGATTATTCTCACTTTTCTGATTATATGAATACTGATGAGAGAGTTCATTTTTGAGGATAGTTGCATAATTATACATTGCATTAACGTGACCTAAATCTGCTGCGGTTTTGAAGACTTTTTTGGCTTCGTTAGGATTAGAATCTTGTATCGATAGTGCATAATTATTCATTCCAGACAGATTTCCAAGTTGCATTGAACGTTTAAAAAGATTTTGTGCTTCATTAGGATTATCTTTCTTCAATAAAATTCCCAAATTATTTAACCCAAAAGAATTATTTAAATCGCTGGACATTCGGAAATATTTCTCTGCTTCTTTCAAATTTTTCGGAATTCCTTCACCTTTCATAAGCATGATCCCATAATTGTTCATAGCTTCAGGATCACCCAAATTTGCTGCAGCTTTAAAATATTTGGCTGCAAGTGGCAAATTTTTACTCACATTTTTGAGCATTAATGCATAATTAAACTGTGCGGCAGGTTTGGCACGATTCGTGTTGGCAGAAAGTGCGTAGTAGTTCATTGCCATATTATTATCTTTTGGCACACCAAGCCCATTTTGATAAAACACGGCTACTTGGAATAAAGAATCATCATGACCATTTTCACTTGCTTTCTTTAACAAATTTAAAGCGATTTCATATTCTCCCATATCCTTATAAATCATTGCAAGATAATAACAAGCTTCATCATTTCCACCGTCAACAGCTTTCTTGAAATATTCCATAGATTCATCAAAATCATCAATCAAAAGTGCAAATTGAAGCATTCCTTCAACATTTCCTCGATCTGCACTCATCTTCAAGTATTTCAAAGCTTTCTTTTCATTTTTAGTCACACCTTTCCCATCTTTAAAGGCAAGTCCATAGTATAACATACCATCAGTATCACCTAAAGCTGCTGCAATATGATAATTATGTGCGGCATCATGATATTCACCTTTTTGTTCACTTAGAAATAGTCCATACTGTGCATAAGCAGGTGGATATTTATTGTTATTAATTGCATGTTTTAGATAACTTTCACATTTTTGTGGATTTGACTTCCATAGAGCTTTGGCCCATTCAATCATTGCTGCAGAGTTTCCATCTTCAGCAGATTTTGAAAAATACCAAAAGCTTTCGCTTGCATCAGAATCCTTAATTCGTGTAGCATAAGTAAAGCAAACTTTTTCATTTAAACTTTTATCTGCGGCAATTTTCATTTTGGACAAATCGTTGTCGCTCAATGAAACTTCAAATAAGGCTTCCCAACTACCTTTTGATTCTGCTTTTCGTAAAAGGGAAATATATTCAGGATTTTCTTGTTCTTTCAAAATCATTGCAAGGAAATAAAGTCCATTTTTATTTTCCAAATCGGCAGAATTTTTTATTAAATTAATTGCATTTTTTTGCTCTTTTTTCAATTCCTCGTTAATTTTGTTATATTCGTTATGTATATCGTTATTTGTTTCATTGTTTGTTTCATTTTTATTGTTTAGATTCTTCTTCTTTTTTTCAATTAAATCTAAAAGAAACCTGCCGTAAAAGGCCATTCCATCAGCACTTTTTTGGCTTGCTGACTTTTCCAAATATTTTCTTGACTTTTCGAGATTTGTTTTTGTAAAACCAACACCTTTGTATCTCATCCACCCATACGCTGCAGTAGAATCTGACACTCCGAGTTCTGAAGCTGATAAGAAATATTTGCGTGCTTTTTTCAAATTCTTTTCGACTCCAATTCCATTTCTATATAATTTTCCAAGTTCGAAAGTTGCTTCGGGATGGTTTTGGTTTGAAGCAAGTTCAAAATAAACAATTGCAGATTGAATTTTATTAGATTTGTCTTTCAAAAACATTGCATATTCAAATTGTGCTTGAGGATCACCTTTATCGGCAGCAGAATGCAAACTTTGTTTTTGTTGTTCAACAATTTGAGTTTCTTTTTTCTTATTTTCAATTTCTTCAATTTCATACTCATCTTCATCATCACTATAAATAAAAATGTTTAAAGAATCATATTTTCTTTGAGCTTCTTCATTTCCAAGTTTCGAACTTCTATAATAGTATAATGCAGCTCGATCCCTTTTCCCTTCTTTCAAAAGAATATCAGCATAATTTAACATTCCATTGGCGTTATTTTGGTAAGCGCTTTTTTTCAAATATTCTCTTCCTAAAGCTACATTTTGCAATATATTTGTTGTGTTTTTAGATAATATGTTATAATTATTCTGATTAATATCACCAGTGATTAATAACATTCCATAACTATTTTGAGCATCACTGTCACCTTGATCAGCTGCTTTTTTAAAATATTGAGCAGCTAGATTTTTATTTGGGATAACACCTTCACCATTAAATAGCATCATTGCATAACTATTTTGAGCATCACTATCACCTTGATTAGCTGATAATCTAAAATATTTTGCTGCTTTAAATATATCTTGTCCAACACCAGTTCCATTTTTTAACATTAATGCATAATGAAATTGCGAATCTTTATGTCCTTTATCAGCTGCAATTCGTAAAAGTAATTCAGCATCTTTCCAATTCTGCATAGATTCATGTAAAAGAGCAAGATCATGCATGGCTTGAAGATTTCCATTATCACTTGCTTTTTGGAAATATTTCATTGCTTCTTTTACATTTCGTCGTGGAACACCTTTTCCAGTATTCAACATTACAGCATATTCATACTGACTTTCAACATCTCCTGAATCAGCTTTTGCTTGAATTTCATTCACACGCGAACTTTGTTCATTTTGATTGTTAGTATTCACATTTTTTAGTAAAAAATCATTATGAATAACTTTTTGAGTATATTTTAAATACTTATCAATATCAGTTCCAGGTAAAATATAATCAACATCAGTTAGTCTTCTTATAATTGTTTTAAATGTAGGCCTGTTGGAACTATTATTATCCCAACATTCACTAATTAAATGTTTATAAGATTTTGGAACTAAATTATCTGGAATATTAGGTCTGTTTCCTATAATTATAGCTGCTTTTATTGCTTCTTGATCATCCATTCCGTAATCGGGATATTTTCCAGTTAATATGAAAAAAAGTAGAATAGCATAGGAATAAACATCAACTTTGTTATTAAAGGTTTGTTGGTCGAGAAGTTCAGGAGCAACACAAAGTGGTGTGACTTCTTCTTGTCCCTCTGAAACAAAACATGAATTCGAAGAATTCATTTTTTGATGTTTGGTGAAATCAAAATCTGCAATTTTTGGTTCAAAATCAGAATTAAATAATATATTGGTAGGTTTTAAGTTTTTATGAATAATTCTACTACCATGTAAATACATCAAAGCAGCAGCTGTTCCAAAAATAGTCATCATTTTATGTGTCGAATCCCATTGCTCGACAATTTGGCCTGTGCTACATCTATTAACAAGATCTTCAAGTGATCCATTTGGTTCAAATTCAGAAAATATAGTAATAGGAATAGAATTATTATTTGGAATTGTATAATGCAATATTTTATTAATTGCTGGATGTTTCATTTGAGAAATTACATTTAATGATCTAATAAATTCCTGTTCTTGCTTTTCTTTGGAGAAATGAATATTGATGTCATATTCTTTTTTTCTGCAAATTGAACCATCATCAGATTTAAGAAGATATATAGAACCTAAGATAGATGATGAAATTTTATCTATGTTATTAAAAATAGTTTCATCAAATTGTGTCATTAGTTTATTCCACAATTTTAGACATAAAATTAAAAAAAGTAGAAAAAAAAAAATGGTAGCTCTGGGGTTCGAACCCAGGCACCTTTCGGTAATGGGACTTGAATCCATCGCCTTAGACCACTCGGCCAAGCTACCTTCGTGCCATATAATAAAAGAGTTTCCCAATTGCACTAAAATTTTTCACAAATCATGCCTGATTCCTAATTTCATTCATGCGTGCCACATTTTTTAAACTTTAAAAAAGTGCCACACATTAATAAAAACAACAACAACAAGAATAAAAAAAGAAATTGTGAAAGAAATAGGGAAATATTCACACACACAAAAAAAAAAACATTACTTGTATGATTCATATGCATCTCTTCTCATTGGTGGCAACGATTTATGGTCTTTAATTCTTTTTGGTATTCCTGGTTTTCTTATTGCCCATTGTCCATTCATAATCGCCTTTTCTATTTTTACTATCTCTCTAGCCTCTTTCACGCATTTTTTCTTGAAGAGTTGCCAGTGAATTGCTTCTTGTTTGTCGATATACATTTTAATTACTTCATTATCAGTTGGTTCCGCTCTAAATGCCGATTTAATTTTTTCTAAATGTGTACTCAAAAGCATTGATGACAAATCTGATGTTTTCAAAATATAGCATTGTACAGGTTCCAAAACCACCAGCGAAAAGGGATAAGAAACGTACTCTTTCTGGCCTGGGTCAGGCACCATCATTTTCGGGCCGAGTGTAACGACTCGAACTGTGTGCTTTCCAGTTGGAATAGTTACCGAGATTTTGATTTGTCCTTGCTGGTCCCTCCGTTTAAATGTCGAAAAATCAACACTTCTCTGCTTGGCCATCAAGCCTTCCTCAATTACAATAAAACCTTCTGCTAACGGATTGAGGGGATCAATCACGGTATTTATTTCGAGTTTTTGACCGATCATGTTTTCAGCTAACCTAGTGAAAATTGCATCTTCTGGGGGAAGTTCTCTCAAAAATTGGAGTTGGGGAATATGTGATAATAAAGTTGCTTTTTTTTCAAGCTGCGTGCGGGCAAACCAAGCAGCTGTATCTCTATAAAGGTGAGGATCAACACGAAGAATTAATGATGGTTCATCACATAAAATGGATGCATTACGAACATCATTTTTGGTGAGGGCAGTACTTCCGAATTCTTGGGAAGGAAACTTTTGGGCAACATTAAGGAAGCACTTGTCTTGACCAAGGGCATTTCGAAGAGTTGAAATAACTGATGGCGGAATATTTTCGTGTCCAAAATCTGATCCTACAGTGACATAAATCGAGCATTTTCCTGTATAAATTAAATACCATCCATCTGGCTCATCATATTGTTTGACAACTATATCATTTACATCATATTTTTCGTATGCGATACGTCTGCACACTTCTCTGCGTTCTTGTTCTGTGTGAATAAACTTCTGAAAATCTCCCCATTTACCAACAATGGCCATGATTGTGTCAATGTCTTGCTGCGTCCTCTCTGATGGTGTAACATTGAGCGCTTTAATAAAATCGTCTTGCGTTGGAACATTTTGATTTTCTGACATCTTTTTGCGTGATACTAAAATGACTTTTGGTCGTAGGCGGCGTGACAAAGCTGTATGACTCATTCGAGTCGAAAATTTTAATGAATTGTGATTTAAAAAAACTCGTTTTCCTCAACTGAATTTCTTTTCAATATTTGACTGATTTATTTATTAGAAAAAGTTATTTTCTCAGAATATCTTTCTATAAATATTTAGCCGCTAAATCAAATTATAAAAATTTTGTTAACATTTTTTGAATGGAAATTGAAGAAAACTTTTTCAATTCAAAAAGTGGTAAATAAATTCATTTTAATTGACTATATAACTCATCAAAAAATTCTGGGACTTCCTGACATACTAAATGAAATCATTATTAGCTGATGTCAAAGCCGGTCACGCTTTCACACAGCGCAAATCGTATTTTGTATGTTCGAAATCTTCCTTTTTCTATCGATGGACAAGATTTATATGAGTTATTCGGAGCTTATGGACCTATTCGACAAATTCGACTTGGAAATATCCCGAAAACAGCATCAACAGCTTACGTGGTTTTCGAAGATGTTCTTGATGCACAAGCAGCCAAAGATGCCCTCAATGGATACACAATGGGTTCTCGATATTTGATTGTTCAATACCATCGACTTGACAAACTCCACGAAAATTCGTAACATCATAGAATTATCTCATCTGTATATGCATTTCAAATATGGTGATCATCTTTTTATTGGGAATAGACTTTTATCTGTTATTCTATTTTTTTGTTTTCTAAATATATTTTTTAATTTTATAGACAGTCATGAATATTTTAAAATCTTTGTTACAAGCATAAAATAAGTTACCACAAAAGAGGGAAATGAATCATATATACTATGCTTATTCTCATTGCATCTTTCGCAATATAATAAACAGTTCAAACTCTGAAAAATCTTATCAAAAAATAATTTCTGAAAATGGAATAAACATAAACCAAGTAGATGTATATGTATAATTTATTAAACAACAAATATTAAAAGATAAAAGTTTAAAAAAACGCGCATAGGAAATTTTGTTTCGAAAACAGTCCAAAAGTAAAAAACATTCCCAAATCATAAAAACATTCCCAAATCATAAAAACATTCAGTTTTCTTCAGTTCTTTGTAATACACAAATAAATTTTTGATTTGGTGTATTGATGATTATTGGATCTGTTGTAATTATTTGATTTTTAGAATCTTCAATATTCCCTTCATAAGCTTTTCTCAATGAAAAGAAAACAATTTGAAGGAATTCTAAAACGAAAACAAAAGATTCAAAAAGACCTAATTGATAAACATCTGCTGCTTCAACTGCAGCAGCTGTTGAATGTAAAATAGTAGCAACTGCAATAATAGTTATCGTTGTAACACTAAAATTTTGAACTAAATTTATTCGTTTGGCAGTAAGTTCGTTTGATATTTCCGCATCCAAAATTTTCAAAAAAATGATTAAATAATTTGCATTGACTTGTAAATAATACATAAATCCAAAGACAGTCATGGCAACAGCAGTCAATGCAGTTCGAGCATCACTGGCTTTCAATCCAAACAAAAACCCACCAACTGACAAAATCGTTGAAAAAACGATTTCGAAAAATTCATGTTTTGGAAGATTTTTTCGAAAAATACAAAATCCAGAAAAAATAAGTGTTGTAGTAATCATGTAAATAATGAAGTAAGCCGCAGAAAAAAATGCAATTGCATTTTCTTTATATTTTGGATAATCATCTGTTATTTTTTTATTCTCCCAAAGTGATGCTTCGATGATGCAAATTAAAGCGCGAATTGATGGAAGAATAACAAAAGCTAAGTGAATTGGAATAATGAAATTCCTTTTCACTAAAGTATTGATGATCCATATTAAAGAAAGAAAGATATTCAATGAACCAAAGATAAGAAGTGTTTGTGTAATATTTTCATTTCGATAATCAATTAAATAGTTTATATTTGTGTATTTGTAGTCAACCTTCAAATGGGTGTGATTTGAAAGACAATTTAAAAAAACTGGATAATAAATACCTTGTTGTGGAACCTCTTCATACCATTCATAAACTTTTGATTTATTCATATCAGTTTTATTAATGGGCGAGATGTGAATACTTGTGTCGAAACAAGCTTGGTGAACTTGGCTTTCTGAAACTTCATGTGCTCTTTGAATAGTCAATAAAAACATAATGACTCTGGATTCTAAAGCAGAGGTTATTTTAAATCGAAATGTTGATCCTTTTTTAAAGCCAAAAGCTGGCAAAATTAAAATGGTTGACACATTTGTTGATTCTGTTCCAACTAAAGAAGTTACAAGTGAAACCAGAATAAATATAAGCATTTTATCGATTTTGATAACTTGAGATTATGGAAAATGGTGAAATGTTGGTAAATTAAACTTTTTCCATATACCTATAGATTTTTTTTGAATTGATTCATCCAAATTGTCATTGAAAAAAAATTGCTTATCCGATGCTATAAACATCAGAATATTCGATATTATTAACAAAAATATTGGCACTTTTCAATGCGTATATGGCCATTAAATACAACCATTTATGACTTTAAAATATGAACACAAAAAGTTGGTCAAAGTGATTCTAGCACGTTTATTAATTCGGATAACCAAATGACAACATTTTTAAGCCCAGTCGATAATGAACTTCTCCTTGCCGATAAAACTTTTGCAAACATAGCCAGAGATTTTGGAAAGTCGAAAAAAGAATTAAGAAACGCCGTTCGAGCATCAACCACACTTTTTATCCATTATGTTGTTGACTGCGCTGCTCAGAAAAAGCAGGGACATGATGAAAACAAAGAAGTGACTCTTCAGCCACAAGATATCAAGCGAGCGATCGAAGAACTCGGTTTTGATTCAATTTTACGAAAATTGAATTCACAGCAAAACAAATGAACTTTTTTCCATTTCGTTAACGAATAATATTATTTGACGCTATCGTGATTTTGTAATTTAAACTTATAATCTAATCAATTTTTTTTTTTTGAATTTTTTCTCCTTAAAAATTAGATTAACCTTTTACACAGCAACTCTTCTCAACTATGAGTTCAAGAGTTTCTCCAGAGGTTGCTTGAATTTTCTTGTGGAATCCAATTTCTTTTAAATACGATGACCAAATATAATTACAAAAAGTTCATATCTTCAAAATCTTCTTAACGTCTTTTACACATTTGAGCCCATGCAAAGCTTTGCCGCAACTTCTCAACCTTATATTTCTGATCAACAACCTCCCACTAGCCAGTACTATCAACAACAGCCGATTTACGTTCAAGTTCCCTATTTACAGCCAATTCAGATTCCTCAACAAGGACCAATCGATGATCGCTGGGTATGGGTCCCTCGATCTGAAAGAATGAAATGGGACTTAGCGGAATCAATTGATGTCGACGAAATAGTTCGAAAAGGCGACTTAAATGCAATGAAATTTTATTTAGAAGCTTTTGTTAACGCAAATATAACAGAAGAAGATTCTAAACGCTTTGGCTCGAAGGGCGCTTTAAATCTATTTTTACTGATGCAGCTCGGTGTTGATTACTTATTGACACAATTTCATAATTATACAATTAATTCAATAATGAGCC